GCTTGCCTGCATACACAAATCTCATGGCTGCTTCTTACTCCATTGCATATTTTTCTTACATCAAACGAGCTTCAGGCTTTTCACACCTCCCAGCTGTCTATCCTATGTGGATACAGGATTTGGAGCCAATACATCCTCATTATGACTAGCTGTTATTTGGAACCATACTGGTGGACCATGATTCGGTTGTCCTACATACTTAAAAATGTGAAACAAATAGATGGTTTGTGACTCCAAACAGCTCATGGTCCTTCCAGGCAAATGAATGAATCCGGGAACGTTGGAGAAGAGCTCAACAAAAAGACAGATCTATAATTAATCTTTAACCATTGTAATGAATTCTGAAAAAAAACACACAGAGAGAACAGAGGATTAGTTCTCAGATGGGTGAAAAGACTTTTAAAGTTTAATATATCCTTCCAAGGACACTCTAAAAATGGGTACTGTAGAGTTTAATGCTTTGCTTGTCTCCAATAACTTGTCTCATATAGACAGAACCAGCATAAAAAAAATGCTCATTTTTCTAAGTAACTGTAGGCTCTGCCCAACCAGACTGGGTTCTACATGAAAAGGGTGTGTGTATTTCTGTTCCTCTCAGTGTTAGCAGTAAAGACTGCCAGACAAGCTGGGAGCTCAGATATTTTCTTCCAGTGATGCACTCAATAACATTTCCAATATTCTGCTGTCTGTATCAATCTGATATTAAGCTATACCTACATTGTAGACTTCTGCTGACATAGCTTTGTGAGCCACTGATATAACAATATCTTCCAAAAGCTGCTGTTGTAAACCCACTTGCATTTAAAAGAAATATAATAAAATCCAGAGGTTTAGCTCTTTTAGCAGTTGAATTTCCTCAGCTGGTTAGCTTGTTTAACTCAGAGGTAACCAAATAAAGTATGTAACATAGAATCATAGAATAGCTAGGGTTGGAAAGGACCTTAAGACCATCAAGTTCCAACCCCCCTGCCATGGGCAGGGACACCTCACTCTAAACCATATCACCCAAGGCCTCGTCCAACCGGGTCTTGAACACTGCCAGGGATGGAGCATTCACAACCTCCCTGGTTAACCTATTCCAGTGCCTCACCACCCTCACAGGAAAGAATTTCCTCCTTATATCCAACCTAAACTTCCCCTGTTTAAGTTTTAACTTAAAGTTAAAGTTTTAGCTTTAACTTTACCCCTTGTCCTATCACTATGGTCCTTCATGAAGAGTCCCTCCCCAGCATCCCTATAGGCCCCCTTCAGGTACTGGAAGGCTGCTATGAGGTCTCCAAGCAGCCTTTTCTTCTCCAGGCTGAACAGTCCCAACTTTCTCAGCCTATCTTCATATGGGAGGTGCTCCAGTCCCCTGATCATCCTCGTGGGCCTCCTCTGGACTTGTTCCAACAGTTCCCTGTCCTTTTTATGTTGAGGACACCAGAACTGCGCACAATACTCCAAGTGAGGTCTCACAAGAGCAGAGTAAAGGGGCAGGATCACCTCCTTTGACCTGCTGGTCACGCTCCTTTTGATGCAGCCCAGGATATGGTTGGCTTTCTGGGCTGCAAGTGCACACTGCCGGCTCATGTCCATTTTCTCATCGACTAGCACCCCCAAGTCCTTCTCATTTTATCTTTCACAAGATAAGCTGTATCTTTACTAGGAAAGAGTTACTGCTATGGTACACTACTATAGGAATACTTTTAAATCATTCCTACTGAAGACATGGTCCTTAGTGAGCAATTGTGTTGATGATACACAGAACAGACTAGAGTTTGCAGTGTAGCTGTATTGACTTGATTGCACTAGCTAAAGTCCAAAGAAAATGGTACGTTCTTTATTTCCAAAATCCACAGATTTAATATTGAATTATTAAAGAAACAAATCTGCTGATGTGTGTATGCTCCTTTTTTCCTGCATTAAGCTTAATTTTAGTATGCTACTGCTGGAATATACATAGATATGTATATATATGTGGCATCAATAATATAATACTGGCACTCAAGATAGGAGTCAAGGCAGGAGAAATCCATAACTAGATTTTTCTCAGTACATCCATTTTCATTTATCCAAGAAGCCAAATTCATTATTATTTACCCAAGAATCTCCTTGGAGAGCAGAACTGTAAAGATTTACTGCATATATGAGAATCTGTAAGTATATTGAAGTTCCCTAGTTCCATTATTTGTCACTTTTACATTTGATTGAAACAGGAAGAAAGTTATACCAGTGTCTTTATGTTTCGTTTTTGATGATATCTTCTCTCTCCTAAATTGTTCTTGTAATGGAAAAGGGGCAATTGTATTTCATTTCTTCTCTTTGTTTCATTTTTTCATCAGATAATATAAGCTTACCTGTAAATTTCTTTGTGTTTGGTATGGGAAAATGAAGAAATTCATGACAGAAAGTCTTAACTAGAGAAGCTGTACTTTTCACAGCTGTCCTCAGTGGAGATTGATACTTGAATGCTGAGAAGTATGTCTCTATAGGTAGTGGCACCTCAGATCAGCTTGGATTAATGAGTGAAATCCTTGGTTTATTTTGGCCTGTTAGAGCACAACCTTTTCCAGGATCAGTCCTATGAGTCATAGTGCAAAAGAATTTAATTTTAAATCTGTTTGTCTGCATAACGTGAAACTGCTATTTAGCAAAAAGCCTTACTCAATAAAAATGGAACTATGCACACACACACATAAAACCTCAAACCACGAAACCACCCTAGTTTACCATAGATTATGTAATTTCACTTAATCCTTGCTTTTCCTTCATAAAACATATGAAGCAAACAAAATATTTGGTTAATAAATGAAAGCTATAATGAAGCCCACTAGCTACATTGAAGATATTTTTAAAAATGATTTTATTTTCTCTAAAATAAAGGCATTAGCACATACTATCAATGCGCCTAAGAATGGAGACCCAAACCACTTGTGTATCAGAGTTAAATGTGTCCAACCTGCTGTAAAGTAAAATCTGAGAACATACAAGTCTTCCTCAGATTCAAATATTAATAACATTTTGTGTTATTTTTTATCCTAATCATGTCCAAAACCTCAGCTTTCACAGTACAACACAGTTTCCTTCCCGATCTAGGATCCTATTCATCGTTCCACAATCCTGCAAACTGCACCAAGGTCATTAAGGCTGATTGCACAGCATCAGGTACTGGCATTAGTCAATCCAGGAATCAGCGCCACATTAAAGGCAAGCCATAACTGACGACTGTCAGGAACAGTAAGCCAAAGGATGATAGATTTTTAAATGATGAAGTTAACCCGCAAGCCAACAATCAATTACAAACAGGAAAATGCACAGAGGAATCCCATGAGCAAAAGAAGCCCTGCCCCTGCAAACAATGGTGGGGCTAACTTTATGGAAACATCATCAGTGGAAGAGCACATGTTTCAGTACCACATGTAAGTTTTTAGTAAATGCTTAAATGTTCTTATTTTGAAAACATGCCTCACATAAATGTTCAGACCATGTAAGGTTAAAAATAAATCCTCATCCTCTTTTACATAGTTTTGATAAATACCTACTTTTGGAGTTCCAGAGTTGTTTGGGAAGGGGATTGTTTCATTTTGGTTTATTTTTGTAATTTTGTTTTGTTTCTTTTGACCTTTACGGTAACCTCCTTTTAAAAAAGTCAGTTTTTGTGGTTTTTTTACTTTTAAAACATCTAATAATGTCCACATTTTCTATTATGTGAATCAAAACTTTTATCAAATTGTGCTCTCAGAAAACATGTTTTGGAACCTTCAGAAAACAGCATAGGCATATTTCCAGTCTAAGGTGGAAAGCTCAGCAGCCAGCTTTTGCAAAGGCAATTTACGTAGCAATGGTATAATCACAAAAGGTGTACATACTCTCTCCAATGAGAAAAAAATGTTTACTGCTTTCATGAAAAGGTTTTATAGAAGAAATGCAATCTCATATCTAAGAATAAAGCATCTCACTACAGTGACTCTGAAACGTAAAGGTTAATGCTTGTATTCTTCATAAAGAGAATACTGCTATAATTAAAAAAAAAAAAAAGGAAAATCTTGATAAATCCTTGTGCAGAAACAAAAATCCTTGCACATACATATAAAGAGTATGCAAGAATCTAAAGTGAGACCTGTAATTTCCTGGAGATCTGACAAATTTCCAACAAAATAATTTTGGTGAAAAAAAAATTCTGTGGGCATATATGTGCTTGCTTTGATGCAGACTCAATTTGTAGTCAAAGCTAGGAGAGAACTAAAGTAATTCATCTGAGAACAGACAGGACCCCAGCGGTTCATTTTCTGTTGTGAATCTCAGGGAAAAAAAATGTTTACACTCAATCTCCCATTTCTCAGGAATCACTTTAACTACCAGGCTACTATTACACTGGGCTCAGTTGGACCTGCTAGAGCTGCTCATCAGCAAAAAAAAAAAAAAAAAATAAAAAAATCGCAAACAGAAGCCAACCTATATTAAAACCTGCATTAAATGTACTAAAACCCTATATAACTATGTTAAAAATACCCACAAAAAGCACAAATTCCTGTACTACTCACACTAGATAAGTATTCAGTCAAAGATGTCATCATCTATGCAAAACCCAGACCCTTCCCACTGCCTGGTTTCCCTTCCCTGCCATCTCTCTTACTAGCCTAGAGCACTTGCTGAAGGCAGAAGAGGGATGGAGTCAGCAAGCATGGGGGAAGTGACTGTAATCCCCAAGTTAAAGGAGAGCTCAGATCTAATCCCAGGACTGAGACCAGAAAAGAGAAAACCACTGAAAGATTAATTTGTTGAGAATTTCCTTGTGAGCAGCAGCACCTTAAAATGAAACTTTAAGTCTTGCTCCTCCTGGCTTTGCAGATGCCCAGAATTGAACCTAATAATTTCACAATGCCCCCTTTTCCCCTCCCCTTGCCTACTGCATATGGTGGCTTGGTTGAGCCTGTGGAAACCAGAGGACATCCTCTGGCCAGGGACTGTAACCTGCCTTTTAAGTACGTATTTTTGCCAATAGCTGCAGGGAAGCAGATCCCTCATTTTCTCTCAACAATTTTGTGAAAAAGATGCACAGCTTGGATTTTTCCCTTTTCCCACCTTAACTAGCTACTTCTTACAGTGGAATGCAGTGCTGAAACCTGTGTTCATCCACTGATAATGTTTCCATAAATTTATTCCCTCTGTTTCTAGGGGCAGGGCTTCTTTTGTTCACCCCAACAATGAGGTCACAGTAGGTTGAGCCAATTCCTACCGTGATTGCAGAAATATTCGTAATTGTCTGTAGTGAACTTTGGGTCAGGCCTTTCTTTTGGAATAAACCCTTTAGAAGACCAGACCAATTCTCTAATTGCCTGTAGCCCTTACAGCAAATCAGCAGTTGGAAATGTGGAGCTGCGTGGAAAACTACCCAATCTCTCTCTTCCCTGGCTTCACAAGTGGGAGCTGTTGATACCTGCACGGCTCTTGGTACAAGGCAGAGCAGAGCATCGAAAGTTAATAGTCCACAAGCCATTCAGAAACGTCTAGGACAGAAACACTGACACCAGGGAATCATATGTGTGCATTGAGCAGCTAGTGAATTGCTTACTTGGAGGGCTCATGAGAAACACACAGATGAACCTCTGAAGCCACTACTTGGCAGGTAAGGTTACTGATGTACTTTAATAAATAGCGCTGTGTTCTCATGATCATTGCTGTATCTTTCCCCCAAATGTATTTGCAGCAGTCTATTGACATTACATAATGCAGAGAGAGTTCAGAGCAAGGCTAAAGAGTTGATGGCCAGCTTTGGTGTGCATGTTTATTTGACATACTTGATTTACAGATCTCCTGTTTACACAGTGCACTTTGATATGTTGTTTCTTTTATTTTTAATCTTAAAATCATTACTCTCCATCTTAAATAAACATCCAGGAAGTCCTTTAGGTTTTGCATGAAGATTTGAAAGACTGCTTTTAAAAACTACTCCGGTGTATGGTTCGTTCCTCATACAGTTAATGATGACCGTAATCTGTATGTTTTCCTCTTGTTTACCGCCTTTTTTTCCCCTACAACAGCACTGGTTTGTTTCCTGCTGCCGGGTGGGGAAAAAAAAAAAAAGACAGAAAAAAGGAAGAGCAGGATAGAGGATGGGCGAGGGCTAAAACAGGTTTTCCCCTCGGAGTTGCGGGGGGAACTGGGGACCTCCTGCCCTTCAGAGGAGCAGGTCGTCCTTCCCGTGGGAACTGGTGAAGCGGGGGTGGGGGAGCCACGGGGACGCGGCGGGGGGGCAGCAGCGCTCCCGCGCCCATCGGCGCTGCCTGCGAGCCCGCCGCGGCCCTGGGGGTTCCGGGGCCACCCTGCGGAGGAGGGAGGACGGGAGTGGGGGTGGACTCCGACCATAGGGGGGGGATCGCGGTTCCGCTGGGGGGGAGCGTACGGACCGAGGACTGGCGGGATGGACGGGTAAGAGATGGAAGGATAACGGCTGGAAGGATGGTGAGGTGAGGGATGGACGTATGGAAAGATGGAAGGGTGAAGGATGCAGGGAAGGGAAGACGTGGGAAGAAGGGACGAGGGGCGGAGGAAGAAGAGATGGAAGACTGAGAAAATGAGTACTGATGGAGAAGGGATGAAGGGTTGGAGGGCTGCAGGAGCGAGCGCCAGCGCTCTCCAGCTGCTCCCCCTCCGCGCGCGCCTCCGCGCCCCCACCTCCCCCTCCCCGCTCCGCCGCTGCGCGTGCCCGCGCCCGGGGCTGACTCTCCCTCGCATCCTCCTCCGGCGGCGACGGCGGCAGCGCCGGGGATGGGCAGCGAGAGCGCGCCCAGGAGCAGCCCGGGCCCCGCCGCTCCCCCCTGCTCCCGCGCCCGCTGCTGCTCCTGCCCCTCCGCCCCCCGCGCCCCGGGGGCAGCGCCGCCGCCGCGCTACCCGCAGCCCCCGCCTCGGACGGGTGAGTCACCGGGCCCTGCTTCCCCTCCCTCCAAAAGCACCTGCCGTGCACCCCCCTCTCCCTTCCCCCGCGCCTCCCATCCCGGAGCGGCCCCGGGGATGAGCGGGGGGAGGCCCCGCTCTCACCCCTGTTCTCGCCCCGGGGCAAAGGATGGGAGGTCCCGGGCCGGACTTGGACCCTCCCCCCATCCCCGCGGTGGCGGAAGGTCCGCGGGCAGCCGGGGTGTACCCGCGGTCCCGGGGGCTGCGGGGGAAGCGGCTCCCGCCCCGCTGCCTGTTCCCGCGGGGGTCTCGCACACACACAGCCGCGCACATGGGAACCCCGGCAGCCCCGCGCCCAGCCGGGGCTAGGACTCCCCTGACCCTATCTCCACGCCGCTGTGCGTAGCATCCCCCTCCCAGGGGGGCTCGGGGGAGGAGGGGGGCAGCGCTTTAACTTTTGCGAGGGACCATTTGAATGCGGGGTGGGCCCGGCTGCTTCCCCCGAGTACCACCCGGGGGGCGGCGGAGGGTCTCGGTCCACCCTCTCGGGGCCCCGCGAGCAGCGGAGCGCGGCCGTTCGCCCCGGGGCACGGGGGGAGGCTCCGGGAGGGACTCGGCTCTCGGACGGACTTTTTTTTTGAGCCTCCCCCCAACAAACAGTGAAAGAAATGAAGCTTGGGGGTGGGGGGAAGAGTCCGTGCTTGTTTTGCTTTCGCTGCCCGGAGTCCGCAAATGATGGGATGCTGTGGCTGAAAAGCGTTTTCTGGTTTTTATGTGTCATGATGCACACGGCTGATTGTAGGTAGTGTAGTAGCTATCCGTATCTCAATAGTTCCCTGTCGAAGGGTTGTTATGGCAGCAGCACTTCTGCTTCTTTTATTTAGCATCTCTGGCTCAGAGCAATGTTAAAGACCTGGAAACTGCCTTGGGAAAATAAATAAAAAAGAAAAACAAAACAAAAATAAAGCAACAACCATTAGCCTCTTTGCCAAATAGCCAACAAGTATGCCCAGAAAATTTACACTAAATCTTCACTCCCTTCTCCAGAAGCTGGTGCTGTGATAACACTGAAAACTGACGAGGCTGGTGGAAAGCATTCTTTTTTTCTTTTTCTTTTTTTTTTTTTTTTTTCCACAATTCATGGTTTTGTTAAATTGTGTTGGAGTTTTTGCTTGGGTTGGCATTGGTTTTTTTTTTGTTCGTTTGGTTTGTTTGTTTTTCACTCCTACTTTTTCATTGTAGCCTTTCTCATAGAGGATTTCTTAGTCCTGCATTGTACTGGGTAAAGGGATTCATGCTGTTCTACATACAAGTAAAGGACAATATTTGCAGAATGAAAAGCTTGTAATTCTGTAGGTTTAGCTTTCCTGTATTTGCAGGATGATGAGTTTTCTTCTTGCAATAGGAAGGGGAATCTGCATGATACTGATCAGAAAGGCTTCATCACTTTTTAGCAGCCACAGCTGGTGGCACCCTGAATCAATAAGATTTAGAGGTTGTTACAGACGTTAAGTTTCTCTGTCACCCGTGATGGTCAGCCTGTTGTCAGCCAAACCACAAACAGCTGTGAAGGAAAACGATTCTGATTCCAGTGTAGTTACCACTGTTCTATTGAACCAGCATTTAAACCATGAAGCCTTTGATGAGGCTGGGTTTTAAAAACATATCAAATAAATTGGTAGAGGGCTATATTACTTTGCATTTTTTGCTCTGTACTTGTGTAGGTATCTCCTGTTGTCTTCAACTGGACTTTGATTGAGTAGAGGTTAAGCAGTAAATAATAAGGGCAGAAGGATTCCATCCTGGAAGCTCCCACATTTTTATTTCAGGCATAATATTTGCAGACTAATATTGATATTGCAGGATAAAATGTTACCGAATTGTATTTCCAATTGTACATTTTACAATAAGTTTGCCTAATCAGTAGGAAAGGAAGATGAGTGTGTAACTGTTTGTTTAAGAATGAAAAAATGCTGTCCCAGGGTGATTCATGTGCTGAAAGAGACTAGATTCAGGTTAAACAGGTGAACTAAAATAATGTAGTGCAAGTGATCCGTAACTAATTTTCATTGCTTGTAATGAAAACAGGCACTCTTGTCATCTTCAAACTGAAATAGAGAGATGTTGGAAGAGAGATTAACAACAGACAAATAGATATTTTTAATGACAAAATAAACTCCTGAATAAACCTCAGGTGCTTCTGAGGGAATACCAGCACATTTCTTGGTATAACTGTGGTCATGATTCTGAACCCAGCTAAATCAGATGAGAGTTTTCCTAGGCAGTGCTGTGACCAGACTCAAAGACATCTCTGCTAACCATTTTTGAGGAACCAGAATGTAAAAAGATCATTCGTATTTTTCCCTGTTGCCATAGCTGGAAGGATTTATTTCATGTCTGATATAGAATATTCTACACTTTACCCTTCCGAGCTGTACTCAAGCCCATAGTTCTTACCTGTCCAAACAGCTCAGATGAGATAATTCTTGTAAGAAAGAATAATGTACATACAGTGAGGGACAGTTTCAATGAAACCAAACAGTTAAATAATAATCACGTTTACTGCAAGAAGGGTTTAATTTTGAATGATATTTTCATATCTGTTACCACTAAAATTTCATTTTAGGTGGTGGGAATAGCATGTTAAAATGGCATTATTGGGTTTATAGTTCTGATCTGAAATGACTGTCTGAATTTAATCAAGCTGGAGAGCAGATGTTTCCAACTTCAGTGATTTTAAAATATCCTTAGTGATTTAAAAATAACCTTAAATTGTAATGAAGAAAAGACAAATTTGGACACTCTGAAAAAGGTTATAGCTGAACTTATTTGATACAAATGAACCAAGAGATTGCACTTATTTAACATTAGACAGAGCTAAAATAGAGAAAAAAAAAAAAAAAAAACAAAAAACCTGACAAAACCCAGTCATGGTAGGAAAATACACAGTATAAACCCTGAGAGACTATTGTAAAAATTACCTGAGAGGAACTTTAAAGTTCTGAATCTCTTATGGCAGTCAAATGGAAAAAGCCTTATTGACCTCAGTAAGTATAACAGCTGGAGTGTATTCTAAGAAAATGGATGGGTAAATTTAATTTAAGTACCACAAGAATTCTGACAGTTCCTAAACTCAGATTGGAAATGTAGGGATTTTCTTTGTTTAGGAGGAAGTCTTGGCTCCACCAAAATGGAATTGGAGTCTTGCTATCAATTATACTGGGGCTAAAATGTCACCCTGAGAATTATTTTTCAAGTGACTTTTGAAATGCATTGCATATTATGTTTAATTTGGTTCTAATTTGTGTGATATTCTATCTAAATGAAGTTACCTTTGCCAAGCTTGAGTTATTAATTACTTATTAGCAATCATTTTCCCTTTCCTTTTACAGTTCTTTAAATGTCAGTTTTTCAGGAATGGCAGGAAATACAAAACAGTCTGCCTGTAAGAGCACACTCATAAGCTGAATAATCCAAAACCAGCACTGTCATTGTGCAATCAATTTTTTAATATGATGCTGTCAAAGTCATAAAAAAAAAAAGAAAATCAAATGTGACATCATAGAAGACAATGTACATAGCTGACATGACAACCCAATGTTTTAATTTCCCCACTTATACTTAGTGTTTAATGAAGATAGACTTTTCTTTCTCTCTTCTGGGGAAACTCCTAATACAAAACATTAAATATTCAGAAAAAACGACGAGTATATTTTCTTAAAAAGAGAAACA